CATTTGAGAAGAATTTGCTTCAGGTCTCGCATGAAGAGATAATGGTCCAATATATTATCATCTAAGCAATAATAGTTCAAGTCTCGCAGTTCAGATATATACTGAGATGTATGCTGGGCTGATGAGAATTAAAGCTTCGTATATAGTAATAAAACTAGTGATCTAGAGATGAATAGATTGGTGTATGGAGCCCAATATTTTCCTGCCACAGATTAGAGCAGGGATACTAATCCATAAAAGGGGAAATATACCATTAAATCTCTCTTTTCACATGCTATGCATGGAGAGCTATAATATGTACAGTTTTACAGGCAAATGTATGAGAAGAGTAAAGACATTTCCTAACATCAAAAGGTTCCTGACTTAGGTAAAGATTTGTTTTATCTTAAAAGAAAACTGAACTAAAATTAAGCTAAAATTTCTATATGTGACAGATCATGCCAGATTGTATCAATGCAGATTTCAGTGGCATTTCCCCTGTTCCTATAGATTTGCCTTTTACTTTGCTTTTAAAAAATGTAATTGTCACATACTACAGAAGGCAAATAAAAGTGTATCTGAATGTGGGCCAGCAACTAAAATAAAAATTCCAAATTATGTTTATAGATTAAAGTGGCTTTTAAAAATTTATTTTCTTAATATGAATGAATTGCATGACTGGAACCAGTTTAGCAGTACCATTAATCAGGTCTTTTGTCTTGCTAATATAAATCAGTCAATAACAACAGATGGGCTGTACACTTTATTATGTGAAAATAAAGATGAATGTGACATACTGCAGAAGTAAACTTGCAGCTCAAAGTTATTGAGCACAGAAGGGGATTTGTTACAACAGGGGAGAACAATGTGTGTCTTGTGTTTGTGTTTGATCAAAGTTGCTGCACATGACATTGGCATAATGATTAGAAATCAAGTATGTGAATTTTTAGTGTTTGTATCTATACTTCCATATCACCCCCAAATGGTTTAATTAGCTTTTTTCCTCCAGACAAAAGAAAAAAAAATGTCTAGCTACTTAGGAGAGTTAAGTAAGAGAGTTATAAAGTTTGCTGCTTTGTTGCACCATTGGGAGATGAGCATTTTAAATAAGCAGCAATAACCGTCAGGAAGATGCAGATCAAAGTCTCAGGCAAGATTTATCCTCTCATGCAGCAATGGAGCATACCATGAGAGGCAATCCCCATGCAAATTATAGAAATTGGCTCAACAGGCCACACAGTGATAACAAAATCATCCCTGAAAAATCTAAGTCAGAGTTTGATTTTTGTATGGAGAGAGGAATGACCTGTGTTTAAGTAGAGATGGACAGGAGAAACTGATGGAAGTGTTTATTCATTTGTTAGAACCTCTGTCCTCATGAAAACACGGATTCATTAGATTGCTCTGGTGCTACCAGGTCTTGTTCTCTAGAGAACTGCAAAAAATCCCAACACAGTCAATTGTCCTATATTGACATTTTCTGTGTTGGATTTTAAGGAATATTTTGCTATATAATTACACTACTATTATAATTATGCTTGCATGTTGCTCCAAGAGTTACAATGGAAGCATGACAGCATATAGCTGTAATTCAAAAAATGAAATACAAGACTTGGCTCCAAGATGTGCATTAAGGTTGATGGTTCAAAGCCCTGTCCCAGATCAGCAGCTTGATTGGCTGACTGTCCAAGCTGTGACACTGCTGTGCCTGGTGTGATGTGCAAGCCATTGTGAGGGGATTTAACATTATTCTTCCTCAAAAGATTCTCATCCCGAGAAGCAAGTATCACAGCCTGGCACAGGGGAACTGGGGCTGCACACCCTCCATAGCTGTAAACCACCATCCTGCCACTTCAGCTGGTGTGCCTGGATGAGAGGGGAGGGGTGCTTTGCCTCCCTGCAGCACCTGACCCCATCTCTTTGGGGGATGCAGGAAACTCCAAGTGGCTTCCCACTGTGGTTCACACAGGAGGATTAGACCACCTGTTGCCTTTCAGCAGTGGAAAGCAGGAGCAAAGGTCCCTCAGTGCCAGTGGAGGTAGCCTAGCTGCGCAGTGGGATTGCTGTTTTTTCTGCCAAATGCAGTCATGGTAATATTCTATATGTTCCTCTTGAGAAACTGCTCTATAAAAAAGACACCATTGTTGCTATTAACAGCAGCAGTATGAGAGCAGGGATTGAATGAGCAGCTCAAGTTTAAAAAGAAAAAAAAAAAAATCTCTCAGCTACTATCTTAATTTTTCTCTGAAAGTGACGGTTTTAAATGCTAGTTTCCAGGGATGTGGCAGCCTTTGAGCATTATTTGTGTGACAGTTTGTGAATGGTTTCCATCTATATCCCTAACATTTAAGAGTGGTTCAGATGCCTCTTGATAGAAATGAGAGAGTGTGGAAAAATAAAGCTGAGCTTTATTGTTGCTCAAGAAGATTTAGGAGGAATCACAGCAAGGATGCAGTAAGAAAACAGACTTGTATCTGACTCTGGGACGCCAGGTTGGTGGAGAGAAGCAGCTATCACCACAATCAAAATGTGAGACTAGATTGTAATGTACTGAGCAGTACTTTGAATACATACAAATAATACCTTAACTTTGTAAGCAGTTACCTTCAGGAGGAAAAGCCAAAACCCACACCCATTTTCCAGGCTGATTAAAAAATAATTTTGAAAACCTCTTTCTTTTTTTTTTTTTTTCCTTTTTGCAGCTTGCTGATCCCTCCTTTTAGACTTCCTAGATATCTTTCATAAGATGCAGTTAATTGGTCAGGCATTGTAATTATTGTCTTTGATAATGTGCAGAAATGTAGTGGTGAAAATAAATACATTTGTTCTTCCAGTCACCAGAAATTAGTGAAGCAATACTTGTTTAATTATAAAACATATGTGTGCTTTGTTAGTTTCCATCTGTCTGCTTGCTGATTTGCAATTAAATGACCAGAAGAAAAAGATACGTCCTGTGGCAATTCAAGGGAAATGATTCATCTCTAATGTTTCTGTGTCGTGGATGTCTATGGAACAGCATGTGGGAGAGAGGAAGAGGGGAGGTGTGCATGGATGGGGGTGAGGAATGCCAAAAAGCCTCTTGATTCAGTTCAGACATGTTTCATTGTCATGAAACCAAAGGGGAAGTCCCATTAAGTTACTGCAACTTGTCTTTCTTTTTGGAAAAAAATGGGGAGTAAAATGGAGAATACCTAATGAGGAGAGGAAATAGGATTGCAGAGGAAGGAGGCTGGTGTGGTCAGAGTGAAAAGGAAGCTGCAGAAATAAGGGAAGCATGGGAAAGTGATAAAAAATTAAATTTAATTTGAGTATCTGGAAATGATTAATTGGAGATGGAAATGGAAGTGTTATAGTGTGTCACAGATTTTCCCTTTGCTGGAAGAATGTTAGGCCTTATTTATTGGCCCTTTTTTCTATCTTTGAATCAGTTCACTTTTATTAACTCTCAGGGAGTGATGCAGTAGTGAGTCAGGCTTAATATTCCTTATAAAATGAGACACCAAGAAGGACAGGAGTATTTTTAGATTAATATGAAGGGTGTATAGGAAATAATTTTAAAAAATGGTGACTATATGTTCTCTTCATAAACAGTTTAGGAGGTTCACAAAATGGTTTGCTCTGTAAGGTATTCCCATAAATGATAAAGACATGCAGTTTACCTTCATACAGCTGCATGCGTGGGTACCATATTACATTCTTTTGCTTCTCCTTCATCTGTCCCTGTTTCTTATCATCTTTCTGGAAAGCAGTATCTGCAAAGAGAATCATGCCACTTGTAATTGTGGACACAGCTTGCACAGGGAGGTCTCAGGTTTGGGGAGGGACCTGTCTGACATTTCATCTTCATGAAGACTGGCAGGGAGGAGACAGCCAGCCAGGATTTTCTGTTGGATGTTCTGTGGTGTTTTATTGATCAGCATCAGCATCCATCACGGGGTATAATGATAACCGTGCCAGAGGCAGAGAGATTGAGTGAGGCCTTCAGAGCAGCCAGCTCGCCGCTGTGGGTCTGGCAGGAGTTGGTGCCTCCCACTGCTTTGCTGCTCAGAGCCTCTTGGATGTTCCTGTGCTCTGATGGCAGGTGGGGAAGGAGATGGGGAGAGGGTTATTCTCCTCTGAATTTGGTGCTTTCTGATGTGGGAGACTTCCTCTGCACAAAGGGGCAGAGGGGTTGTACAAGAGGATTTGTGAAGAGGGAGGGAGAAAGGGAAGTATGCGCGTTTGGTGTTTTCAGTCCTGCCTCCTGCACAATGGATTCTTTTCCTCCTTCTCCTTTCACTGACTTGAATCTTTACCAGCAGCACCAGAGAGGTGCTGAGGTTCCTTATGTCAATAGCATGGGTCCATGTTTGCCCAAAATGTCACAGTTTCACAGGTTCCCTGCCCCATGCCCCAGCTCCCATGCTCTCTCCATAGCAGGGACTGCACAGACCAAGTTAGTACTGGCAGAATAAATAAAGCATAGCTTGGCACCTTCAGTAGCAGTCTTAGAAGGAGAATCAGAGTATGAACAAAGAGATACAGACTGGACTTGCATTTAGACCTTTGCCTTCAGCAGATTTCCAATTGCTCATCTGAAACAAAAGGTACTGTTTCCTATTTGGACCAGCCTCAGCTGGCAGTAGCTATTTTACGCACCTGATTATGCAGTGCGATAAGTCACTATTGAAAATGTGACCTTGAAGCCTCTGAAAGTTTCTATTATTTCTCTTTATGGTTTTGCAGGCAACTCTACCAAGCACTAACACAAAGCTTTACTGCTGGTATTGCCAATGATGGTAACAAAGGACTGATCCCAGACTGTGAATGTGCACATCCCTGTCACATCACAGAGAGGAAAGAATGCTCAGGATGTAAAGAACAGTTTCCTCCAGTCTGGAAACAGCAGTGCATCTAAGCCTCAGTTTAGTAATGCTCCTAAGATAACCTTTTATTCAAAAACTATGCATCTTTTTAATTTTCATGAAGTTTTTGCAAGTGTCCACCAGCTGAATTTTGGTTCTTTCATTTTTCCTTTACAGATGATGACTTTTTTCATGAGCTTCCAGAAACTTTTCCATCTGATCCTCCAGAGCCATTACCCCACTTCCTCATTGAACCTGAAGAGGCTTACATTGTGAAGAACAAGCCTGTGAATCTTTACTGCAAAGCAAGCCCAGCAACACAAATCTATTTTAAGTGCAACAGCGAGTGGGTTCATCAGAAGGACCACGTGGTGGATGAGAGAGTAGATGAAACTTCTGGTGAGTTTGGGTTATGTTGTGAAGGGATGAGAATGAACACCATTAATACCAAGCCCACTGTTGTAATCTAGCAGCTGTTTCATATGGCAGCTGCTTTTCTTTACTCCTGTTACACCTGTGAATTCTATATCCGGCATACAGAACGGTCCTGTCATAGCACAGGGGTGATGCCTGCATCCAAGTCAGCTAGTGGAACAGGAGTGTAGAGCACCCTGACCAAATCTGAAACTGGAAAACCAGGAGAACCAGGCACAAACAAAATGAAATTCCTTCCTTCAGACAGGTCTATTCCCAGTTCACTTCCCCAGTGTCGCAAATTCACAGTGGTTGCACTGTGATGTTGTCACCGACTGAGTGCCACTTTCTCCCCAAAGCGTCAAGGAGCAATTGGGTTGTTACTAGAATGATGTTTTCTTGGGGAGATGTGAGGAAAAAAGGAGAAATTTAATCAGTTTTCAGCAAGAAAGAAGGAGAAAGCACACCTGGGCACACTTTAGAGCACTATTGATCCAGAGTGAGCACCTTGCTGTTATTCATTGCACTTCTCTGCTGGCTCCATAGGGCCTGTAAGAAGGAGAGCTACAGTATCTTAGCATCCTTCCTCAGTCAATACCAGAAATCCTACCGACATTCATGGAAGTTAGACAAGATCCTCACAGCACCAGGAAAAAAAAAAAAAAAAAAAAAAGGATAGGGGGAGGGTTAAAAACTTGAGTAATAAAGCAGTGTTTGGGAAGACTGGTAATCAATATTGAGTCTGAGACACAGGCAAGGAGAGAAGCAGGACTTACTGCTGTTTTGATGGCTCTGAGAAATAACCGGATATCAAGCGAGAAGGTACTTTCCATTTGGGAATTGCACCACCACTTGGTCTAATTACTTAGAAAAATAACTCCACCAGATGTCTTGGAAGTCTCTTGTGAACCAGGTTTTATTTGTTTCAGCTCATTTATTTGCACAGAGATCAAAAGCATAAGCTTTTCTTGGTACTCTCACTTGAAAAAGAGAAGGTTGGTGTAGGAAGAAAGGCTATAAAAAAAAGTCTATATTAGACCTGGGGCCTGTGTATTCATTTGTAAAAATTGGTTTTTCCACAAGTTGAATACAGGAGAAACACTTGGAAAAAAAAAAGAAATCATGTTGTTGAATACATCTTCAGGGTTTTTCATTCCATGGGAGCCCAAGAGAATGAAGATGGGCAAACAGAACAGCTATGACTAGGTTAATTTTTTTAAGTTTTCATGAACATCACTGTTAGAAAGAAACATGAACATTTTTCACTACAGGTGAAATATTCATCCCTTTTTCTCAAAAATCTCATTGTGGGAAAACTTGATGATGCTATAAAGAAATTGCATTCTACAAGTGTAAAAGGAAATCTTTAAAAGAGAAGCATCAAAATATTTCAGAAGACAAATATTTTGCGTAATAAATAACAGCAATTATAAGCAAATGAGAACCATTATCAATTAAAGATTAATATCATCTATTGGAGTTAGGTGGGGGAAGAGGATATCAAAAGCTGTGCACATCAGATTATTAGCACAAGGGCCACAAGCTTAGTCACACTAATAGCTTTTTAAAGTGAAAGTGTCATCAAAATCCAAATTTGTTAGTCAGCCTGGTTGTTGCCAGAATATTAGTTAATGCATGTCACAGCTGCAGTGTTTGTGCACATTCCTGTAGGCAGATTCGGAATCTAAGGCTTGTAGTACATAAGTGGTATAGAAATGGGTAAAGAATTTATTTAAGGTTGTGGTAAAATAGTATTTTCTTTAAAGCAATGGAAGCTCAGGAAAATATATTCACTGCCGATTAAGCTGCAGAAAAAAAATTGCAGGAGATGGTGAAGGTTCATTCTGGCACCCAAAAAAAGGAGATGTCAGCTTGGCAGCTTGCACCAGTCAGGCTGGCAAAGCCCTTGGACTCTATCACTTCTGGGGCTATTTTGGTTTCTTTTGCTATTTTTGACTAGCTAGTGCAGTTGTAACCTAGGGCACAGAAGTAATGACTGAGCTGCTCAGAGGGTGATGTGAGCATCCCTCTAGGTTCAAACCTAGGCTGCTGCTGCTGCTGCCTCCTGACTTGTGGTTAGAGAGGCAGGAGAAACTCCCCACACACTAGATTAGGTCTAGACTTCCCATGGGTGACCTGGGGCTCTAAGGGACCTCACTTACACAGTGTTTCTGCAGGGTCAGTCATTTAATCACAGCAACTGAAAACTATATTTTCTTCTTTCCTGGTATTTTACTCTTCCTGGGGTCTGCTCTGCCTGCTTATGAAAAGAGGACTGTGCTGAGGAGATATTCTGCTGCTGGGTTTGAGCTAGACTTTCAATTCTTTACACAGACAAGCAAAGCAAAGAAAAACAAGGCAAACAGACAATAAAATATGAGGGGAAAAGAGTAAAGGTCACTTGTGCTTTCTTTTCTAAAGGATGAGTAATCAGGAAGAAAGTGAACTAAAATACAGGTGTGATGCTAGCAGTACATCACCTTGGGATTGTAAATGATGCATGAAAGAGAGAAATGGGTTCTGATTTGCAAAAGATTATGTGTTCATGGACTTTGAGCCTGTGCCCAGGAATGAAATCTATGTAGAGATTATTAACTCTTCTTATAAGGCAAATTTGTTTCTGTCATTGAGAAGACCAGAAAAAACAGCACTACAATAGCAATGGCACACAAGATGGAATTAGAGTGCAGCCAAGCTCTCATTGAAGAGACCTGCTAGATAAAAACGTTATATGTATTAAAAAGGTTAATTTTTAAGTGAGGAAAGTAAATATTCACATAATTTTTCTCTGTTTTTTTTTTCTTTGTGAAAGAGAGAAGGAACAAAACGGGAGTAATAGTTATATATACTTTGCACTGTGGGGTATTTTTAAACAGTGTGTAAAGCATTGCTGTAAAGAGCATGCTTGGGGACTCTGTGGGAGGTGTTGCCGTCTGGTTGGAGAGGATGTGAACCATAATAGTGGCAGGGTGTTCTAGTACCACTTTATTTAATTAAATTAGCCTGAAGAGAGAGCCTTGCAAAATATTTTATATTGAAAGAGTCTGAGAAACCTACAGCTTTACACAGAAGATCATTACATTCTGTTTTTAAATCCTCAGAATCACTGGAATTTTTCTTCTTTATGGAAAAAACTTATCATTTTCATAAAGAAGTCAAATGGGTGCTTTGGAAATGTCTAGTGCACATCTTTGACTCTTTCATTTCCTATGTATATGAAATACAAGGCAGGGCATTGTCTTTTTTATGCCTTTATGTCTCTAGAATATTTTCCCATTAATGCATGAAAAAAAAAAGAATACCGGTTTTAAAAAACAGAGATGAGAGTTCTTTTGAGGGAACACATTTGATTTTATGGCTGACTGTCACAAAAGATAACAGCAACAAAAATAAAAGGAGCCCTGTAGAACTGATGCTTTTGGGGGCAAGAAAATTCCATTGTTACAGGGCAGGAAGTTCAATAGCATCAATAATTGTTAGAGCAGTTTGTGCACATTTTACAAAGTACCTCTGAAAATGAATATGGAAAAGATTTTTTTGCAATGAAGATGGAAAAACACTGAACCATGTTGTTCAGAGAGGTGATGGATGCCTCATCCCCGGAAACAGTCATGGCCAGACTGGATGGGGCTCTGAGCAACCTGATTCAATTGAAGACGTCCCTGCTTGCTGTAGGGCATTTGAATAGATGACCTTTAACCTCCCTTTGAACCTACACTATTCTGTGATTCTGTGATTTTTATTTTGCATGTGTGCTTTTATGGAGAAATATTTTCCAAGACACACAAACCAGGTCTGCAGTGGTGGGAGAATTGTTAACATATAGAAAATCAGTGTCTTGCACCCCTTTCATTTGTCCAGAGGGATTAAGTGTTGCTATATCCAACCCCACATCCCAGTGATGTACAAGAGAAAAGCAGAAAAAAATCTGGAGCTTTTTTTAGTCTTTCTAGTTTGGATATGCATTGTAATATTTTCTCTGTGACTATTAAGGTGAAATGGTCTATAAACCCCCTCTTGCCCTCTGCAATGCCAGGGACATTTTCTTCTCTCTCCTTCAAGCAAGGAGAAAACATTTGTGATTCTTTAAGTGCTAATTAAATAGACATATTGGGCAATTCACCCAGCATTATTGTTTGCCTACACTGTCTGTCTTCTTTTGCTGGGATGCATAGGGAGAGGAAGTCTTGGAGAGTTTGCTGATGATCCCCTGCTTTTGTCTGATTAAGAGAGTTTATCAAACTGCACTTGGAGTAGACAAATATGCACTTCTTTTCAGAGAGAAACCTGACTTCTTTTTTTTTCAATTTCTTTACATAGCCACCCCTGAAATGCCAACGCTTACCTCCCACCATTACCTTTCCCAATTAGTAAAGTATTTTTGGATGACTTGCAAATTCAATGAAAGGAGACTGAGCTTTTGACGTAGGGGTCAGCATTGATCTGGCAAATAGGAGTTTGTTAACTTAAGCAAAGGGTTTGGCAGCCTGTTGAGGGAGTAGATACCCAGTTAGCCAAGCCTTTAATAGATCACCCTCTCAACAGAAAGATCAAGGATTGACATCTGCCCTTTTGCCTTTAAAACAGCTCTTACAAGATCCTGCAGCCAAGACAGCAGTGGGGAAGCCTTCATAGTCACTATGCTCTTCTGGTACCATGTAGAGAGGCAGGAAAATCACTTCCAGCACAAAATGCTCTCTTGCTTTATCTTCCTCTCTGTGTGTGCATCTCATGAAAGCCATTTATTTTGGTGTTTGTCACACCACATATTAGAGGGCTGCATTGCCCTACTGGCAAAAGTAATTGTTTAAGCTGGGACTTCTGATTATACAGCAAAGGTCATCATACAGCCTCGCATTTTGAGAAGTTGCATTCATTTATCTTACTATTTTTTATACAAAAGAAAAGCCATTACTTCTTATTATTGCCTGTCTTTGAATAACAGTTTTGAAGAAATTAATTTGGCAACCCAAATACAAAATTCC